CATCTTTCTTCTTCTGTTATTAATATATCTCCATTCTTTCCTAATTTAAAGTGAGATATTTATTTTTGTAAGAATATATATAGTGTACTCTTATCCTTCTTCTAGCAATTATCCAGATATATTCAATTGGCCAGATGTGAAATATGTTGAAGTAGGCCTTCAGCCATCTCTTTATCTATTTTTTGAACAATTCGACAAATTATTTCCTAATGTTTCTTGTATTAAATTTCAGATGGGTAAGTATTTTGTTCACTTAAGAACTTGAATAAACCTTTTACACTTTGAAAAGAGACAAATACAAAACGTTTAATAATCTGGGAGGATGGTTACGGCTCTGTCCATATTTCTCACCGTAACTTCGTTGTATACGACCGTTTATGGTGAAAATTAATGCAGTAATACGTTGTTAACGATGTCCATTCCGACGATCGGAATGGACGTCATGAGTGTAGAAATTGTTCTTTTACAGACGGAAAACTTGCATGTGAAAAATGTGGACAAGCTTCGGCTGTTATTCATAGAAAGTTCAGTTCGCTGAAATATCTACACAGGAAAAGAAATTCTTTTATTTTCACGATGTAATTCTGCAAAAAACAAAAATATAAATGTTTATAGCGTTTATCTTTCTTTAGGATGCGATACAATAATTGACGAACTAGATTATATGATGTTAATGCCAACAGCATTCGAAACAAGACAACATAAACTGATCAATATTTCCTTGCGACATGTCACAAGATTTGAATTTGGATCGTGCTGTTACCGTGATTGTGGTAAATTGTGTTTTTCTGTTTTTAAGATTCAATAAGAATAGGATAACATTTTTCTGCTATTTTAACAGCTATAATTCCATAAATTTCATAGATTTCAACTGTTTTATTCTGCAAACAATGATGAATATTTGTTGGATATACTTCATGTCTCATTTTCTTATGTAGAAAAATATCTCCCAAATACTTTCTCAAAATATAAGATTTATCTGTATTCATAACCGTAATAACGTTTATAATTATTTAGCATTGACGTTTTATATAGGACTGTCGTTATTAAGGTAATCATAGTGGAATTCATAATAATTTCTTATGTTTTATCAATTATCTACCAGTCGTTTCAAACGGCTTACCCGAATTTCGCCAATAAGACTTTCGCCAATAGGACATTCGCCAATGGCGAAAGTGCACTGTACTTTCGTCAGTACACTCTCATGACTTTCGCCAATTGGCGAATGTCCATTATACTTTCACCAATATACTCTTGTGACTCTCACCAATTGGCGAATGTCTGCTGTACTTTCGCCAAGATAACTTGTGAAATAGGAAGATGTCTATCGACTTCGTTGATAACGGATAGCAATAAGGTGCAGCCTGGCACCCTAGTTCCGCACATGCAACCCACATTTACATTCGCCTCTGATAATTCGAAAGAGTCCACTGTACTTTCGCCAGTACGCTCTCATGACCTTCGCCAATTGGCGAATGTCCATTATACTCTCCCCAATACACCCTTATGACTTTCGCTAATTGGCGAATGTCCACTGTACTTTCGCCAACAGATCGCTGGACTTTCACCATTGGCGAATGTCCAGTTGGCGAAAGTCTTATTGGCGAAATTCCGGAATCCTTTTCAAACAATTTGCAACATAGTTTATTTTGCGTATGACTAAGAAAATTGAACAAATACATTGAAAAGAAAAAGCTGCTCAATTAAATTCATGAATGGAGTTTTTGAAATTGATTATAAATGGAACAGAGCAAGTCACAAGCATATGTGTAGTTATGCTCTTTCATCTAAGGATCTTTCTTTATTGAGAATATTAAGCACTTTCATCATGATGCCAAAATAGGTGTCATTAATAAAGATAGAACTAACTTCTACTTTGGAATATTAGTACAACTAGTTATCAATTAAATAATCTTGAAATTTCTAATCTTTTACCTTGTTTCAATACATTCTCTTCAAATAAATCATTCAAAAGAGTAAATGTTAGAAATTTTGCATTTGTTATTATAGATTATTGAGTGAAATAGGATTATTTCTTTATCAGAAAAAAATTCTTTTCATAAAATATATCTAATTAAAATATATTTATAGGATCTTATGACGGACGTACGGATCAAAATAAAAAACGTGCAAGATTGCTTGCTCATCTTCTTTCAATGCCTCTTCAGCTTAATTATCTTCGAATCCAACAATTTCAATGGCTTATGCATGTTGTTAGATACGTAAGAACACATTTTTTTCTTGGTCTAATTTTGAACTCTGAATTATAGTTATGCTTTTCATAACTATTCTCTTTCCTAAATTATTCAATTAAAAGCTATTCGCATCGAATATAATGATCAAACGAATTTGTTTAGGAAACAAAAAAGTGAGTTTGTATTCGAGTAACCATGGATATTTAATCGAAATAGATTTCATTTATAGTTATATTAATCCTAAAGAAAATATATTAAAATGATACCATGAATAACTTTAAAAAAGAACTTCATTTGAGTAAAATTACAAAAGATACTTAAAAAAAATGGCTTTTGTGAAACCAAGAGATTAGAGCAAAGAAAAAACGAAGTATTTTCTTGTAATAAAAGAGTCTAATATAGAAAATAGTAATGATAAGAGCAGGGACCGCGAGAACGATCTAATATTTGGGGGGGGGGGGGGGTAATAAATTTTGGGGGTGTAAAGGGCTATTTGCAACAAAATTTCGCAAAAAATGAGCAAAACGTGCAGAAAAATCTTCTGATTTCGCTGATAAAAATTGGAAATTTTCAATAATTGGGGGTACACAGTGGGCAGCCAAGCGACAAAAGTTTTTTTCTTGAGCTTTAAATTTTTCAGTCGCATTATCTGTAAAAAACAGTTGAGTAATATCTCATATGATAGCCCATTAAGTGGGTTACAAAATGCATATTTATTTGTTATTAAAAACCCGTTGCTCAAAAAAGTTTTATCAAAAATATTAAAAATTCTTGTCGTTCTTGCTCTTTGTCTACTGTCCACTGTGGGATGCACACCCCTCCACACACTCCCGCTTTGATGGTCCCCCGCATAAGAGTGTTCAATTCGTTTTACATATATCTATAGAAGGTGAAAATAAAAAGATATAAAGGAAAGAAATATTTCAAAGTTGCAAACAAAGAAAAAGATATTGAAACAGAAAAGTTCGTTGTATACATTAACTTATTTTAATCATTCGAAATTTGACATTTTTTAACTTGATAACTCAGTTCCTACAATTCCAAATGGTTTATTTAACTGTTTTTGTGTACTCAAAAAGTGAGTACACTATAGAATCGGTCAGTGTGTCCGTCCGACCGTCCGTCTGGCCGTCCGTCCGTCCGGCCGTTTACACGATAACGTTCGAAAGGAGAGTCAGATCGTGATGAAATTTTCTACACAGTTCAGTCTCATTAATGTCTCGGTCGAGTTCGAAGATGAGCCTGATTGGACGAGCCCTTCCTGAGTTATTGAAAAAATACTGATTTCTTTCCCTATGCTTCCCTATGAGAAAATCGACCCTTCTCTGTTTCCCTTAAAAACTTTTCCTATCATAGTCAATTAAAACCCCAACTATTATATACCATTCGATAGAGAATTTCACGAGCTACAAAATGGTATATAAAAAATAAAGAAACAACAAGGCTAGCTCACCTATTGCAAAGATAAATAAACGGAAATCGGTTCTGTTTTTGTCTGGGCTCTAATCGATCCACAAGTAGAGCTCTATCTTCCGATCTGACAGATAATACTTCAAGGTTTTCTAGGATGGAGAACTCGAATCTGTAATCTACTTGACTTGAAGCCCCATTGGCTGAGCACTGACCAATAGAAATCAAATTATAGGAAAAAAGAGTTTTTTAGGATAACTCTAGGCGAAGAGTCCAAATCTGAGCTGTATTCACTCCGAAATCCTATTGGTTGAGCAGTAGCCAATAGAATTCAAGTGTTTATAGAAAGGGTTTACCAGGCTAATTTTTATATCCACACATTGTAAGATGACCGATTTGTCTCATTCACTTTTTGAAGTACACATAACTCTCGGATTTAAATCCGAGGTTTCCACATTTATTTCATTTTATATTTAGACATCTGATGAACTATTGAAAAACGCATTAAAGAATGTTAGATACGCGGAATTTTGTCTTACTAGTTGTCATTTTGGCTCAAACCAATCGATTGGTATTGGAAACTTTCTTGTACTTGTTCTTAGTAATTATATGCCTCATTTACAAACATTGCGTCTTTGGAGACCAGATGATTTTCCTTGGACAACTAGTAAGTGTATTTCAAATAAAAAAAACCTAATTAAAACAAATTCTCAAATGTCTTTACAACACATTCATTAATATTTTGTGTTGTTTCATTTAAAAATCTCAATCAGGAGATTAATATTATTTAAACTATTATTTCTATAAAATAGTGGAAACTTTAAATTAAAAAAAATATCATATTGAAAAATTATATAGATAGACTCTTGAAAGTTTTTTCATTTTGATTAAATGTCTTTTGCATTCATCAGACTCGTTTAGTCAGTAATAAAATCAAGTGTTTTCCAAATCTTTTTGTAATATATTTTCTCAACTCTTTGTAATGTGATTCAAATCTTAATCATAAAGCTTCGAAAAAAAGTGAGACAAATCTTCTTATATCTTGTTGTTTTCTTTCTTGTTAAAACATACAAAACTCGAAAAATGAAGCAATTTTTTATTTGAAAATATCGGTTCGGTTTGTGTCTGTATGTAAGAGAATTCTTGTTTAAATGGTTTCTTTTCTAAAAAAAATCATTGGATTTTGAAGTTTATTAACTTGAGACAATTTGAAACATTGCTACTTTTAAAGCGGAAGAGCGTTGGAAAAAAGATCACACGTGACAATGCACTCTTATTTGATAAAAGCAAATATTTATCATTGAGAACGTTGTTTACAGTATAAATTGATATGGCTTTTTTAATCTTTTTCTCTTTGAAAGTTCGGCCGATTTTTAAACGAGAACACTATGGAAATTTGACTCGACGGTGGCTCAAATCTTTACGAACACATGAATCAATTAGTACGTAAATGAGACTAATTCATAAAGAAAAATACATTCTTTTTGTTTAGATAAACATGTAACTGTTTTCGAACAAGATCTTTGCCAATTAGTTACAGAATTAAAACAATTTGTTTTTCTGGATATTTATAGTGATACAGATTCTGAAAAAGTCGAACCTTATCGCTCAATGGTCCAGAAACGTTTTCCTAATAGTCAACTTTGTATTGACAAATTAAGATTTCGTCTTTGGATATGATTTTTTTCTTTGTAATTATAGAATAATTGTATATTAAAAAGAAATAGGTTGAAAAACAACATGATCAACATGTGCCAATACACATATATTACGAATAGGTTCAATATCTTGTAATTCAGAAAGAATCTCTGATGAATAAGTTATAGTAGCTGACATTGTTGTCTGGAAGTACTTTGTATTTTTTTTCTCTAAAATAAAGGATCGATTATGGTCTTAAATAAATCATGATATAATAGCTATGTGTGAAGTTGTAATTAGGCAAGAATAAAAAAAACAAATATATATGACTCAATTTACACTCGTTCTTCAAAATGACAAAAAAAAGAAAATAACGCTGACAGGAAAAGTACAGCAACAGAAAAAAATGTTGAAAAAAAACAGGAAAATAAGACTAACATAATAATATTGGTGTTGCTTGATTGCTTTTCTTTATTTCCGATACCATTTTTGTAATGTATCATATCGTTTAATCTTTCGCTGTAATTGTAAAACACCATAGTTTAACGCTTTTGCGCTTGGTGTACAACTAGGCATGTATACATCAATTGGAATAATACGATCACATCCGTGTATCTATCGAAGAAAAGATTTTTTAAAGTTTATAAAAACGAATCATTATTAATGTATTATTGCATGTGAATAATGATAATAACCACTATCATTAGCACATGAACTCATCGAAATAACCCATTTAGGATATGAGGCATTTGCTCGTAAAGTCGTCGAATATCTATATACAGATATTATCGAATATCATAATCCTGACAGATGTAACTGATGCACGAGCAGTTTTAGCTAGTCATACCCGCGCATTTGATATTAAACATTTTGAATCCAAACTAGACACGAATACAGGTTATTGGTCGCCAAGCACTAGTTCAATCGATTGGTGCGAACGTAATTACGTTGTAACTCAGTATATTGTTGAATTTTGGAATTGCATTTCAAGCTTCTCTATGTGTATATTATATGGAATATTACTCATTCGAAGTTTATACAACAGGATTGAAAATCGATTTTTATTGTCTAGTTTGTGCTTGAGATTTGTCGGACTCGGATCTGCCTATTTTCATGGTACACTCTCACATTTAGGACAAATGGCAGATAAACTTCCAATGGTATACTCAGCGATTGTCGATTGGTTTATAGTATTTAAAATGGACAAATTCGAGCAGTTAAAGAGGAGAAAATGTGCGATTGACATATCACTTATATTTGGAATATTCTATGGACTTTTATGGACCTATGTACATAGTTTACAAACGTTTGTACTGATATTTCAACTACATTTTGCCTTCCTGGTGCTTGGCGGCATTTTTAAACTGATCTATTTATATCGACAGATACTACATCATACATATTGGATAAAGTATCTTATCATTATATATATTGGTTTAATAGCTTCAGCTATGATATGCTGGATTATTGATCAACAGTTGTGTGAACGCATGAATAGTATCAGTGGGTTTAATCCACAATTTCATGCTTGGTGGCATGTAATTTGTGCTGTTAACGGTTACGTAGTAATCGTGTGTGTCGAAGCTATGCGTCTTCTATCAATCAAATATCAACAGCATCAAGTAAAAAAACGCTAAATCTCCCGAACAACCATTTAAACCGGAAGGGTGTGGGTGGGTGTGGGTGTGGATATGGATGTGGGTATGGGTGTGTGGGTATCTTCTTATCACCCACACCCATACCCACACCCACACCCACACACCCACCTCACACCCACACCCACATCCACCCACACCTACCCACACCCACACCCACATGATTTCGAGCTGAAGCTGGATGTGAGTGTAAGTGATCGGAGATGAGGATGTGAATTTGAGCATTCCATTCATCAATCATTGTTTCTCGATTCAGTTCAATCCATCGGCATCACATCCCACATTGAATTTATCTCTATGCAATATAAATAGAGCCAGAGATTTTAAATGATATCAATTTTATTTTAAAAATTAAAGAGATTTAAATAAAATAAAAATTACAATTAAAGATAAAAAGTTAGTGCAAGTCTTAGAGAAATATAAGCAAATCATTTGTTTTTTGTGCTGCAGCCTTGCGGCATTCTTGCATTTTATTTTGATTTCAATCAGCTACAGGTTGACTATTATTTAGATTGTGAGAATAATGAGAATTAGCATTTCTCGGCATTCATTTGTAGTTGCTTGATATCGCACTTTCTATACGGCCAATGAGAGCACCAGCCATATCTTTATCAATTGCTTCTTTCTTTGAAAAATCTTTTCGTGAATCTGACATATTCGATCTACTGAAAAGTCAGTCCAAAAAACAAAAAATTAATATCGATGCATTTATATTGTGATGTGTTATGAATACAGGAGATCTATTAATGCGCATAGTCGATATCATCTCTTATATTTATAAATACCAATGGGATATCAAAACATATATTAGTTCATTTGTTTTTTTTTCTGATTTAATCCAATGATTACTGTTGACTATATAATTCTATGAGATAAATATACGTGAACTGGAGTCAAGTTCGATTGATTAAATATTAACTATATAAATATTTCTCGACCAATCATGAATACAGAAATAAGAGAAGTAAAAAATCTTTCATCCTGCAGTTACATCATTATATTTTTTATGAGTAGAATCTTTACCACGGATATTAGTCATTTATCGTGTGATTTAATATTAACAACATAACTCTGTCGAGATCTTATGTATAATTTGACAAAAAATTCATAGTTCTTGATAAAGAATTATTCTTTTTTTGTTCATAAAGAATGATCAAAATTAGTTTTAATATGTATTGTCAGGATCGGTATGAATAATTAAAAATGAGAGATAATGACTGATAATGGAATATATTTGAGTGTACTCATGCAAAGAGAGATTTAAAACATTCAACCATATAGAATCACCCATGAATATCTCGAATATGCATATATTAATCAGGTGTAGACTTTATTCTGCTAATATGCATATCATAAAGTTTTTCTTTTTTTTTGACAGTCCGCTAAAATTATCATTTCATTCATAGAAAACAATTGTAGAAAATCAACAAGATTCGTTTTTTTAAACTAGCTCTCCGTCAAAAATAGTAGTATTATATTTGTTTTCCATCTCAGTATTCGCTTCATTAAAGATTTTCTTTTTTTCGACAATTTACTAATAATTATCAGGTTTATATGGAGCAGTTCAATCAAAAAAAAAATGCACAAAGTAAAAATGTTTATGATCTTCGACGAAAAACTGTTAAAAATATAGAGTTTCAGCGTACCAACTGTAACATACGAAGGTCTGTTCATTACATCTTCAACGCGAACGATTGCCAAAATCGAAATATGTTATTGCAACTGATATCTAATTCCAAGTAATTTTCATGAAATTGCTCTAAATTTAGTATAGATTCGCTCGTAAACTTCATCGAAAATTATGTTTCATGCGAGGCAAAAATATTTTCATGCAAATGAAGATATAGTTGAAGATATCGAATAATTTTGAGTTGTATATACTACAGAAACGTGATTGAGTTTTTATTTTTTAATCATATCATATAAAATTAATATTTTTATTGTTCGATTTTGAATCAAATAACGATCAATACCAACTTTTAATTGAGACGGATACAATAGAAAAGTACACTTATTTTATGAAGCTACTGAGAATCGAAGTGTAACCCTCTTGGTTGACCGACGGCAGCGACGGCGACTGAAAAATTTTCTTTCTCGGCAGCGGCGGCTGCATTTTTTTTCTACAAAATTATCGGCGCTGAAAGGTTAGCCTCTTGACTTACACTTCTAGCTGCATTTCATTTATTATCACGTTCATCAGCGGTTGCATATTCTTGTGCAATGGCAACGGTTAATTCTACCGAAGAAATGACTAAACCACTTATAAGTTATATGGAATTAATAACATTAGCTATACGAAATAGTCCAGATCAAAAATGTACTTTATATGGTATTTATCAATATATTATGGATCATTATCCTGTAAGTATTTAATGAAAATATGAAATAATGATTTTGATTTTTTTTTCTCTAGTATTATCGAAAAAATCAAGCAGAATGGCAAATTTTTATTCGACATAATTTAGCGCTCAATGAGCGTTTTTTTAAAGTTGCACGAGATGAGACACGACCAGGTTTGTTAAATATTGACATTCGATTACAGAGCTAATAATATCGATACTTTCTAGACAATGTATAATCATTTCAACTATTGAAAAGGACGCATTATTGCATTAAAATAAGTGTAATATATAACTCCTCCTGTAGGTTTCCGAGTAATGTTGGAAAGTGTGAGGACAGGAAGTTGAATTAAAATAACTTTCAACATTTATTCTTTTGAACAAACTAATGTAAATCAAAAATTCACTCATGTAATACTGACAGTATCACTCCAAAAAACAAAAACTTAGGTTGAGTCTACGAAAAACTAAAATTTGCAAAAAAAATTATGAATTTTAAAGAATCTGTTGTAGTGTTTGATGGGCACTTAAGAATGATTTCTTTTACACTCTATAACCTATCAAATCATCTTAGTCCGGGGAAAATATTGATTTCGAAATATATAGTTCTGTTAAGTTTTTTCAATAGCAGTTATTGCAATGTACTTTGAAATTTAGTTCGTTGAAAGAGAGTATCGATTAGCTTGTCTTGATGTTTCATTGTAATTCTTCAAATCTTAAAGAAAAAAAGTTCGAGAAATCTTTTTTTTGTCAAAATTCCTGTAATCAAACAAAAGTTCTTGATGAAGATCGGAGAATCGAACATACATCATATGAACCGATCAAAAACCACCAACTATAGCAAGGGCAAATATTTGTCTTACCCTTAACGTATAATCTTCATAATATCGGGTGGCGCATAAAGAATGACGGTCACAGTTTTTGATCGATACCTTCTTCAATTTTAATCGATCACATTTCGGCTTAGTTTTAAAAGACTGCTCGTGCAGTTCTCTACAGTAACTCGCATTTTAGAGAATCGCACAAGAAATCTTTGAAAATTAAGCTGAAATGTGAGCGATTAAAATTGAAGGAGATATCGATAAAAATACTGAGACCGCCATTCTTTATGCATCACTCGATATTTCAAAGGCTTAAAATAAACTCATATTCAATAGGCTCATCATACTCGTCTTTTCGAGCGCTACAAAATGACTATGTTAATGTTTTTCGTTAAAGCTTTTCTTTTCGAAAAAATTATATTTCCTAATAAAAGTGTTTGTACTTTTTTCACTTCTTAGCAAATTTTCTAGCAACAACGTAGAATTTAAAAGATACAAAAGTATGCGCTTTGTAATGATATGAAAGAGGAATAAAATGAGCTTATTCGGTACGAGTTTATTCTAAATCTTCAAAGTGCTACGAAGACGATACGTCAACTACACTTCAAGTATTCATTCTAGCTCTATCGGCAGTTTTCGAGAGTTGCCATGGCATGGAAATGTTGCAATTCGAATTATGATTTTCTATACTTGAGACCATACCGACATAAAATACGAACTTTTTTAGTTATTTTTTTATAAATAGGCAGAGGATCTTATTGGATGCTGCATCCTGATTTATATAATACGTTTGAAAATGGCTCATATTTACGAGAACGTCGTCATCGTCGTTTTAAACAAGAATCATCAAACAATCATCATTGACATCAACAAGCAATACGACAAAAAGGACATCATCGAAATTCACCAATTTAACATAGCATGTCACTCAAGCCTTATCTTTTTCTGCTCGCGTTGCATGTATTTAAACGATGTTTTTTTCTATTTTTGTTTGTTCTTATTCTTTGAATAAAGTAGAAGATATGGAGTCGTTCCCTGATAAAGACCTAATGCTACAAAATTAAATCATTCTCGAAATTAACTCCAAAAAAGATACAACAACAAATGATACTGATTGTTTAGAATCACCAAGACATGTCAGTGCCTTTCCCACTCCAAAAACGGAACCAGTCGAAGCTAGTCAATCAGGTGATTATTTATCATTCTACACTCATCCATCAGCATCAATGAAAATACCAAACTTTAATCTTTTTGATACAATGATAGCTGCTGGAATATAAGACTCAACTGTTAATGGTGGGCTGTGGGTGTGGGTGGGTGTGGGAGTGTGGGTGTGGGTGTAGGAGTGGGTGGGTGTGGGGTGGGTGTGAGTGTGCGTGTGGGTGGGTGTAGGTGTGCGTGTGTAAGTAAATAACCGCTACACCCACACCCACCCACCCACACCCACACCCACCCACACCCACACCCACACCCTATAAAGGATATGACAATATAAAACATATATGGTTTTTTTAGAGCAAAAAATTCTCTATCGAACGAGCCTATAACGAAATCTTCAGTGAGAAACAAAGTGCCCTAAAAAGACCGAAACATTTCGACTCATTTATTATGCGCCACTCATCATTACTTTTTATTATATTGAGAGATATGGAAAAATCCTTGAGCACTAAACGATACCTATTACAAGTTTGAATAATGGCTTGTTTAAACCGCATGATAGTTTAACGTGAAAGATAATGTTAGATACTGCAATATTTAATTTTATAATACTTACAAGATCTGAACTGTTCATCTCTTGGAACTAAAAGTGATATTTCATAATCAGAGACTCACTTGGTATTTCATTTCACTTCTGAATTGTGTGCATAAGCTTCTTTTGAAAAATCACTCAGCAACAATATAAACACATACTTAGTAAGAGTTTCTCTTTAATTTTCCTAAAGCGTGATAATTTCTACGCTAAAATATTTCATTGACTGGGAGTCTTCATATTCATATAAGGATCGATTATGAATTGAAGATAGATGAGCATCTACATGTGAAAATTTATGTAAAGAACTCATTGCTGACTTTAGTAGTATGAGGCGGAAATAATTAATAATCAATATTTGATTTTACGGAAATTATGATTGATATTCAGAGGACTAGTCACGCTTTGAAAATATTGATTAGTTTATTATAGAACGCTTCTATATCTAAATGACAATGAGAGTATACCTATGAAAAATACAAACGTATTCTGTCGATAGTTTCAAACGAGAACTTTGTTACAGTTTGCGCTCGTATGTCTAAAAACTACACAACTGTAATTTATAATATTAGTTGTTTAACAAAATGAAGATTAATTTTCTACGTTTTCATTATAATTGTGTCGAAACTATAGCACGAAATTTCTAGTCTAAAGATACAATCAGTTTTTAAAGTTCTTTTCGTCTGAATTAAAATCTCTATCGTAGATCTAGAAGAGGTTTCATTATCTCTGGAGTTCCAGAAGTTCTCAGTTGTACTGTCCATTTTCTGATTGAGTGAACTCTCCATTCATTTCTCGAAGTAGTAAAGTATAAATATTGAATGTATATGTCTCGAACTAAATAAATGTTATGCTTCATATTGTATTTATTAAAGTCAAATAAGATAACATCCAGTCAATTTGTTGAAATTATGCGAGATATGTGAGTATTACTTATAATTGTTTCTTATTGTTTAGGTACAAGCTATGGCCATGGTGTTTATTTTTCCTCAAAAGCAAAGTACAGCCATGCTTATACAGTTGTCAATCAGAAAAACGAACGATGCATGTTTTTGGCACTTGTACTCACTGGCAATTCAATAGTGGGTAGTTCATCTATGAAAACTTGCCCAGCTGGATACGACACTACAACAGATGGATCACATATATCTGTCATTTATCATGATGCGCAGGCATTTGGACTCTACTTGATCACGTACAAATAGTTGTGAAAGGAATATCCATTTTAAAAAAAGCAGTTGTTTTATTTTTGATTCAGTTTTTCGCTCGTGTATTTTTTTCATTTTTATATGCCTTAAAATTGAAAAACAAGAATATTATATTTAGTATTTGTATAACTTTGAACGATGATGTGAGGCATAAATTCCGATGTAGATGTTGATATGAGTGAATGAAAATGGGTTTAGGACAGGGTGTGGGTGTGGCTTGAGAGAAGATCGACTCACATCCACCCACACCTACACCCACACACCTACGATGGTGCAAATGAATATTTTGGAAAATGTTTAAGAATTCTAGAAGCCAATCCTTTTTCAAAACAAGTTAGCGTAATTGATACTCTTGGGAATCTTGGTGAGGTGCAACGAATCCGATATCAATACGAATTATCGCTCGCATATGAACTGAATTGTTTTTTATTACGTGAAAAAGATCTACCGCCAGTCCATCAAGATATTGGAGAAAGTTTGTTCAAGACAGGTAAACGTTATTATCATCTTCATCAACATAAGCTGGCACTTGATTATTATAAACGGGCATTAATTGTTTATAAACAATGTTTACCCTCTGGACATTATACTCGATGGAATATTGAATTAGAAATTCAGCAAACAACATATAAATGCGAGTAGAGTCATTTGACAAATATTGCATCCATAGTGTACAATTTTCTTTTTAAAAACTTGTGAAAAACGATCTGATTTTGTTATAATAAACCGAGATTGCGTTATTTGTTTATTAAAAAATTCTGAAAACTATTTTATTTGATGGAGTTAAGTATTTATAATCAAGAAATTGTATTCCAAAAGAGCCATTGATAAAATAATTGCGAATGTTTTTTCGGAATTTTCTAATCTCAATTCTTGTTTGAACAGTTTTTATCGATTTTTACGAATGAATAGAATAAAAAGAATCAACAATAGGCACAAACGCCGAGAAATGAAGTGCCTTCACTGGACACATCATCTGACCTTTTGTTCGCTCGTATACGTCGTGACCGATACATCATTATGTCTGCCTGTTCATTCACTTCTGATGCTCTTTGTATATGAGTTATTCTCTCTTTCTTTCCTATAGAAACTTTTATCTGATTTGAGATAGACACAATGAGAATAATGAAGTTATTCAGCTTTCCATTATACATTAAATAAAAATACTAGTGTAAGAGTTCCATATTGATTTCGTTAGAATTGTTATTTGTTTTTTTTCTAGATATATTTGTGAATGATGAACAACAGATCTTTCCAATTCGAATTCTTGCCTAACGAAATTCTTATAATTTTATTTGAATATTTTGATATTCGAGATTTGTATCGATTATTTTTCAATATAAATACTCGTTTCAATAATCTTCTTCTATCACTCAAACATCTTTCTCTTACGATTTCAAATTCGAATCAAACTTTAAATGAATATGATAAAATACTTATTTCTTATATTAATAAATTAATAATTCAAAATAAAATTAATATTGATTTCACTTGTTTTTCACATATTCATTCTCTTATTTTAATGCATCCAACATTCCAACAAATTAAACAACTTAATAAAGATATTTTACCTTGTTTAAAATATCTTGCAATTCGAAATATGCATTTATTATCTTCAAATGATTTACCTGCAATATTTGATAAAATATTTTCAAATGATTGTTCTTATTTACAATATTGTTATTTATCGAATATGACGACGATAAGCAGAAGACGAGAATGGATGCAAATGACATCATTACGTTTTTTAGAAGTTGGACATATCAATTTATTTGTTTATAAATACATTCTATCATTATGTCCGAATTTATATTCGTTTAAATTTATCATATCTACCGAGACTGAAATACCTTCTGATATTAAATCACATTTAAATATTAAACGATTAACATTGAAAAATGATTTTTTTGGTCATTCTTGGAATGATCATGTTATTAAAAGTTATCTTTCATATGTACCCAATCTCGAACAACTTTGCATGTATCGTCATATATTCAGTTCAAGTGTGAAAAACTGTCTAATGAATTATGATTGGTGTGCTTCATTAATTGGTTCGTATTTACCATCACTTCGTCGATTTAGTTTCTATTTACATCTGATTGATTTAAACTACGTCGATATAGATAATATTCTTTTTCAATTAGTAGAAAGTTTTCGATCTCATCGTAACACTAGATGTCAATCTTGCTTTGTTATACAACGTTCACAGATGCAGAATCTTCTCTCGCCAAAATTCCTCATGTAAATTGTTATTTTGTTATATATTAGGAAAATTAACTGTCTTTGTTGATAATCAATAAATTTTAATTGTTCTCTTTTGTTAGAAATTCTTCAAAATTTATAACTATTCGTCAAGAATTTTCAACTGATAGATAGGTTTATAAAATCAACCTATACGTAGTGCATTCGACAAGATTCGAACCACTACCAATAGAGTTTTGGATCTATAATTGATTTAGGTGTACTCAGTTTTTGATGCTGAATCTGAAACGACACCTCTCGAGTATTTTGTATTTTTCGATCGAAAAGAAGCATTTGCTAAGGCTAAAATTCTGTTTTTCGTGGTCGGCAGCTCATGGACTATCAAACGATATTGCTATTACTTTGAGTATGCTTTTAACGTTTGTATTTGACTGTGCTCTACTACAAACAAGTGTATATAATTTATTGATATACTTTCTGATTTATTTTCTGTGTAAATGGGAGGATCTTGAAGTTGAATGACGTTTTTGAATTCTTCAACAAGCATCATGTTGTATTTGCCCTTGTATTACCGCATATCTTCATCATGAGTTTATACTTTGTTATTTACCATTTTAATTCAAAATTATTTTATCGTGGAAAATGGTGGTGGAAGGTATGTAAGTGGGAGATAATCATTTTACCATCAGAAGCGAACTTGTTAG